GGATTATAGGTGTGTGCCATCACACCCGGCTAATTTTTGTATTTTTAGTATAGACAGGGTTTTGTCATGTTGGCCAGGCTGGTCTCAAACTCCTGACCTCAGGTGACCCACCAACCTTGGCCTCCCAAAGTCCTGGGATTAGAGGCGTGAGCCACCATGCCTGGCCTATTTTTTATTTTGAAATGCTCTCACTCTGTTCCCCAGGCTGGAGTGCAGTGGTGTGATCATGGCTTACTGTACCTTGACCTCCTGGACTCAAGCAATCCTCCCACCTTGACCTCCTAAGTAACTGGAACTACAGGCAAGGGCCACCACACCCAGTTAATTTTTTAAATTATTTTTTAGAGATGGGGTCCTGCTCTGTTGCCCGGCTGGTCTTGAATTCCTGGCCTCAAGCAATCCTCTTGTTTTGGCCTCCCAAAGTGCTGGGATTACAGGCATGAGCCACCATACCTGGGCACCTTCTGTTTTTATATCTTTCTTCCACATTTCTGTTAAACTATAATCTTGCTTTGCCTCCCCTTTATTTTTTATTTCAACAATGAAAGACTTTGCTGATTCCTTCTATATTCACACTGAAAAAGTATTACTATTTATTACTATTTTTACTTCTTGCCCTTGAGAATAACATGTATACAAATGTGTGTGGTGAATATATCCACATACTATATAACATATATTATATGTACATCTTACATATGCATTTTATATATACAAAGGTTACTATGTAAAACATACATAATATATATACATATTGCACTTTTCTCTTTTTCTAAATCTCCTTAGAACTAGAAGTTTCGTATTAAGTATCTCGTACAAGACAAATCTCAAAATCATTTTTTCACTGAAATGAAGGATGCAAGAGTGATTATATAGAACTTTCATTCCCATTCTCAAGTGCTTAGAGAGAGGCCTCTTCTGAACAGCAATGAGATTCAGAAATATTTGGGATTGAGATGAGGTCTCTGCACAGTCCTGTGGCTGGTACCACAGACTCTGCCGTGTACTGAGAGTCTTGTATCTTAGTTGTCTGCCCACCCAGTACCTGTCATTAGCACTGATGTGTGCTGGGGGCAGTGCCTGTTACAGCTGAAGTGCTCTCGTCCTTCTTTTTCTAACGAGGCTGCCTCAGCATGAAATAGTCTTGCGTCACCGTCTCTCAAGCTATGGGAACTCTAAGGTATTCATGAGATTTGACTTTGTTTCCACAGAGCTGACCACTGATACAGAGACCAAAATCCCTCTCAAATCAAAGTAAATATAGAGCTTATTTTATTTTTAATTACAGAGACAGGGTTTTGCTACTGCCTAGGCTGGAGAGCAGTGGCGCAGTCACAGTTCACTGTAGCCTCAAGATCCTGGGCTCGAGTGATCCTCCCTCTCTGGCTTCCCAAGTAGCTGGGACCACAGGCACGCACCACCATACCTGGCTAATGTTTTTTATTTTTGGTACAGACAGAGTCTTGCTGTGCTGGCCAGGCTGGTCTTGAACTCCTGGGCTCAAGTGATCCTCCTGCGTCAGCCTCCCAAAGCACTGGGATTACAGGCATGAGCCACCGTAGCTAGCCTAAAGAGCTTATTTCAAAATCTAGAAAGCTCCTGGAATCCAAGAGAAGCAAGGCCCCTATGACAGGAACTGGGAACCAGAAAAGTTGCATCTAAGGTGCTCTCCAGGGCATCCTCTCTCCTTTTCTTTTTCTGTCCCTTTCTCTCTGGAACCACGAGGCCCTCATATGCATTTTCCCTTGTGCATTCTTTCTCTCTCCCACTCTCTTCCCTCTCCCTATCCCATTCTCATTCTCTTTCTCTGTAGGCTTGTAGTTCAAAATGTCCACCAGATCACTTGAGGTCAGGAGTTCAAGACCAGCCTGGCCAACATGGTGAAACCCTGTTTCTACTAAAAATACAAAAATTGGCCAGGTGTGGTGGCATGTGCCTGTAATCCCAGCTGCTCGGGAGGCTGAGGCAGGAGAATCGCTTGAACCCAGAAGGCGGAGGTTGCAGTGAGCCGAGAACTGGGAAGGCAGAAGTTGTACTGCATTCCAGCCTGGGCAACAGAGCGAGAATCCGTCAAAAAAAAAAAAGTCTGCCAGTCACAACATTTCATCATCGCCTTTCTGAACATTTTTCTTCATTTCTTGGAGTTTCAATTCCAAATCTCTGATACCCAAAGGAATTCAGTCCTGAGACTCTCATTTCTGGGAAACCTTATAGGTAGGCCCCTTCCCTGGGTCTCATGAATGATCCGCTGGGATCTAGGGCTTCTTATTTACCTACAACAGGGAGAGGGGATAAGATAAGATTCTCTGAAAAAAGATGGGTTGATTATTTAAAACATACGTATAGTCTCTAAGGATATTTGTTTGTTTATCACATCCTAGTAGTACTTTTCAGTAAAGCTCAACATTTACTATGGAGGGAGAAGTTGCTTCCTCACAATTCGGTCTGACTGAGATGGTGACCCATTACTCCCCCATGCAGGAGAGTCTGTGGGAGCTGCTATGTAACTGCGAGGATTACGGTATTTCGGGAGTTAAGGTAGTGGAAAGAGGAATGGGTTGATGGTTGAGAATTCGATCCTTACACCTGAGTCCTGATAAAATCCTAACCCACTGTATGACCTTGGACAAAACAAATAACTTTCTGAGCTTTTTATTTTTTTTAATTTATTCAATGAGGAGGCTGGTGTAAGTCAGTGGTTCCCAGTTTTTTAGAGTGTGAAAACTCTTCTTAATTTCAGAAAATCATGAACACCACATTATAAAGGTGTCAATTTTGTTGCCCACTGAAAGGAAAAATACCTATAAATATATACGGGTTCTAAGACTCTTCTAATAACTCCAGAGTCTCTGTGAAATGCTACAGGCTAGAACCATTGATCTTGCTGACACTGAGCCCCTTCTGGCGATGATAATCTGGGGCTCAAGTCAGGGGAATTCAAAAGGAAAGCTGACATTAAATATCAGATCCAAGAACAGCACTAGAAGTTTTCAAAAGAGATGAATTAAAGCAGATTCAAGGATCTAAGAATCGGAGCTGAGAGAGAACAGAAGGAAGAATGAACACTAACAACAGTGGAAGGCTGTGGGGCAGCATGTCGGGAAGCAGGGTTATACAGTGCGGCTCATACCAGCAAGAGGGGCAGACGCCATCATAACTAAGAAAAGGAAGGCAGAGGGGAAGGTGATTTCGACTCTCAGGCAGGGTGGGCCACCTCTTCTTGACCTATATAAATATGTTATATAACAGCATATTAAATATAAATATAATGTAATTAATAATACATGTTATATTGGATAATATTCACATATAAAACCACCAAGACACTATATGTGCATGGTTCATAGTAGGCTAGTTTTCCTTTCCCCTCCTTTGTTACCTTAACAGTTGAAGTGTTATTTAAAGCCTTCTGTTTAAAATTCTGTAAAGATTAGTACCATCAGAGTTGACATCAAGAAGATAGTGGCAATGACTTAGGGTAATTTCCATGATGTACATACAAGAGTTATGCCCACAGAAAAATTTATTCTTATGGTTCATCCAAGCACTGTCACTTTTGTGTTTTTCAATGCTTTGTATGCTTCATATCAAAAAAGGAGACTGATTCTCAAAGACATTCTGCCTTATAGCATTCTTCCTTAAGTTTTTAGGAGATCTTAACCTGACAGTTTACATTTCCCAGAGTTAAACACATATTCGAGAATTAGGTTGAGAATATAAGGTCAAATTTCGATCCAACATTCATCAAGCTGCACTGAGAAGCAAGACAGGAACGTAAGAAAAAATCCTGAAAAAATTTACAGGTTATGAATTGTCTATTTTGCTTTTCTATAAAGGAATACCTGAGACCGGGTAATTTATAAAGAAAAGTGGCAGGACTTGCCACACTCTTTTTTTTTTTTTTTTTTTTTTTTTGAGATGAAGACTCACTCTTATCCCCCCAATCTGGAGTACAATGGCATGATCTCTACTCACTGCAACCTCCACCTTGGGTTCAAGCGATTCTCCTGCCTCAGCCTCCTGAGTAGCTGGGATTACAGGTACGTATCACCACGCACAGCTAATTTTTTGTATTTTAAGTAGAGACGGGGTTTCACCATGTTGGCCAGGCTGGTCTCGAACTCCTGACCTCAGGTGATCCACCCGTCTTAGCCTCCCAAAGTGCTGGGATTACAGGCGTGAGCCACCGCACCCAGCACCACACTCTTAAACAACCAGATCTTGTGTGAACTCAGAGAACTCACTCATTACCATGGGGAGAGCACCAAGCCATTTATGAAGGATCCACCCCCATGACTCAAACACCTCCCAGCAGGGCACACCTCCAGCATTGGGGATCACATTTCCATGAGATTTGAGGGAACAAAACTTGGAAATCATACTGTTAATTTTCAAAATATTTTTGTTATAACTATTTTGATTTCTATATTCTAGCAAACATATCCTTTGGAGAATAGAAACTCCCTCCACTCCTCCAATAAATTCAACTGTAGAAGCTTTAAGAAAAACAGAAATCTTATAAGAAAGTGTTGGTCCAAATATAAATCAAACTAAAATGTTGTAGTGTTTCTAGCAATTTATAGCCTGTAAGAAAAAATAGACCCTTCAAGTGTGCTGACAAATTATATTTCATTTTTTCATGAATCAAATATTATTATTTAATTCTTCAGTGAATAATGTTCACATGTTCATAGACTGTGAATAATATTAACACGTTCTGTTTTCAGTTTTCAGAATCAATCTACAGACAAAGTATGTTTAAGGGACAGAATGTAAATGTTTTAAATCTAAACACTGAAAATGTATTATTATTTTTAATTTTCACTTAATAATTGTACATATTTATGGGGTACACTGTGATATTTCCATACAAGTATAAAATATGTAATAATAAAATCGGGGTAATTAGCATATCTATCACCTCAAACATTAATCATTTATTTGTGTTGAGAACATTTAAAATCTACTCTTCTAGCTACTTGAAAATACATAGTAAGTCCCATGAGATGTGAGCAAGGCTGGTGCTGGGGCTTCTTCTCCTGAAGGGGCTGCAAGAGGGAAGACTTAGCCATGTCGTCCTTGATCAAAACGGTGATCAGCACCGCGAAAGCCCCAGGGGCCATTGGACCCTACAGTCAAGCTGTGTTAGTGGACAAGACCATTCACATTTCAGGACAGATAGGCATGGACCCTTCAAGTGGACAGCTTGTGTCAGGAGGGGTAGCAGAAGAAGCTAAACAAGCTCTTTAAAACATGGGTGAAATTCTGAAAGCTGCAGGCTGTGATTTCACTAATGTGGTGAAAACAACCGTTCTTCTGGCTGACATAAATGACTTCAATACTATCAATGAAATCTACAAACAGTATTTCAAGAGTAATTTTCCTGCTAGAGCTGCTTACCAAGTTGCTGCTTTGCCCAAAGGTAGCCAAATTGAAATTGAAGCAGTAGCTGTCCAAGGACCGCCGACAACAGCATCACTATAAGTGGGCCAGTGCTTTGTAGTCTGGAATTGTTAACATTTTAATTTTTACAAGTGATGTAACATCTTAATTAACCTTTTAATTTTCACAATTGATGACAATGTGAGCTTGATGAAAATATCTGAAGTTATTATGGAAATACCATATAATAGGGAGAGTTGAACATGAATTGAAGATTAGAGAAGGAATCCAGTTACTGTTTTAAATTACACCTGTATTACTGAATATAGGAAAGAGATATCCATTACATAGTTACTCAATAAATAAAAGAGAAATAACAGGTAGGAAAGAAGAATAATTATTCCTGAGAAATAATCAAGAACATATCTAAACTAATGATGTGAACGATTTAGTTTTCACGTCAGGTATGTGATTCTGCTTTTACTTGAGTAAAATTTAAGTATTTAAATTTGAGGTCAAGAAGAAGAAAGTGGACCAAAATTTAATACAGATAATATTTTTCTAATGGAAATAAAATAAACAAGGAGATTTCAAAAAAAAAAAAAAAAAAGAAAATACAAAGTAAATTGTTGTTGATTATAGTCCCACTATAGTGGTATAGAACACTAGAACTTATTCCTTCTAGCTGTACTTTTGCATCCATTAACTAACCTCGAGCTATTCTCCACTCGTTCTACCCTTTCCAGCCTCTAGTAACCACTAATCTACTCTATACTTCCATGAGACGAACTTTTTTAGCTTCCGTATATGAGTGAGAACATGTATTTATCTTCCTGTTCCTGGCTTGTTTCACGTAACATAATATCCTCCAGGCTCATCCATGGTTCCTCAAAAGACAGAACTTTGTTCTTTTTTTATACCTTTGTTCTGTTTTATATTCCGCTGTGTCTATATACTGCATTTTCTTTTTCTTTTTTCTTTCTTTCTTTTTTTTTTTTTTTATGAGATGGAGTCTTGCTCTGTCGCCAGGCTGACATAAATGACTTCAATACTGTCAATGAAATCTACAAACAGTATTTCAAGAGTAATTTTCCTGCTAGAGCTGCTTACCAAGTTGCTGCTTTTGCCCAAAGGTAGCCGAACTGAAATTGAAGCACTGCACTGGAGTGCAGTGGCGCGATCACAGCTCACTGCAACCTCCGCCTCTCGGGTTCAAGTGATTGAACCCTCAGCCTCAGCCTCCTGAGTAGCTGGGATTACAGGTGTCTGCCATGATGCCCAGCTAATTTTTGTATTTTCAGTAGAGACGGAGTTTCACCATGTTGGTCAGGATGGTCTTGATCTCATGATCTGCCTGTCTTAGCCTCCCAAAGTGCTGGGATTACAGGCGTAAGCCATGCATTTTCTTTATTCACTCATTTGTTTCTGGGCACTGAGGTTGATTCCATATCTTGGTTATTGTGAATAGTGCTGTAATAAACACGGGAGTGCCTATCTCTTTGACATACTGATTTCCTTTCCTTTGGATGAATACCCAATAGTGGGATTGCTGGATCATAGGGTAGTTTTATTTGTAGTTTTTTGAGGAATCTCTATACTGTTTTCCATAATGGCTGTACTAGAGTTTCACTGAAGGCAGAAGTCAGCTCTTTTGTGGAGGTTCCTCAAATGTCAGTATCTGTATGTCTTTATTGTGGGATGGTTCTATTTTTCTAGAAAAAGGATCTTCTAATATTTTGCCTAAAGGATTTAAATCAGGTATTGTCAGTGTTCTATAACAAGGGATAAAGATTTGGAATTGGAACTCCAAGAGTTGAAGAAAAGTGGTCAGAAGGGTGATGATGTAATGTTTGGGCTGGCGGACATTGGTTGGTGAACCCATGTTCAAGCATGCAGTCAGCGTAGGGTCATCTAAAATTCAAGAAAGTTCTCCAACAGCAAAAAGCAGGAGAAAATAAATAAGTCAGAAAGCTAAAAAATATTAGGGAAATTTTCTAGAATGTAGAGCAATAGTCTTTTTGTCCTACCAAAAGATGTACAATAAGAGAGGAAAAATACAAGAGCCTCAAGATGTGAATAATAGGAGTTCCAGAGAGAATGAACAGAGAAAATAGTGGGGGAAATGTATTAAAGAAACAATTAAGGAAAATTTCCCAAAATAAAGGAAATGTCTCTAGATGAATGAAAAATAAGTCCATCCACCTGGACGTGGTAGCTCATGCCTGTGATCCCAGTCTTTTGGAAGACCAAGGTGGGAGGGTCACCTGCGGTCAGGAGTTCGAGGCCAGCCTGGCCAACATGGCAAAACACTATCTCCACAAAAAATAAAAAAATTAGCCTGGCATGCTGGTGTACCTGTAGTCCCAGCTACTCGGGAGGCTGAGGCAGGAGAAACTCTTTTTTTTTTTTTTTTTTTTTTTGAGACAGAGTCTCATGCTGTGGCCCAGGCATGATCTTGGCTCACTGCAACTTCCGCCTCCCGGGTTTCAGTGATTCTCCTGCCTCAGCCTCCCAAGTAGCTGGGATTACAGGCGTGCACCACTCCACCCAGCTAATTTTTTTTTGTATTTTTAGTAGAGACGAGGTTTCACCATGCTAGCCAGGCTGGTCTCAAAACTCCTGACCTCAGGTGATCAGCCCATCTCAGCCAAAGTGCAGGGATTACAGGTATGAGCCACCATGCCCGGCCCAGGAGAAACTCTTGAACCCGGGAGACAGAGGTTGCAGTGAGCCAAGATCGCACCCCTGCACTCCAGCCTGGGCGACAGAGTGAGATTCCATCTCAAAAAATAATAATAATAATAAATAAATAATGAAAAACATGTCCATCAAAAAAGCCAAATCATTGTGAAATTTCAAAACCCCAGATACAAAGAAAAGATCCCGAAAGCTTCTAGAGAGAAAAAGAAAACCAATTTATTTACAAAGTGCTGGTTCTAAGAATGGCAACATTTGTAGTCCTAACTCTCACAGAGAGTTTTCCTTCTACTTGAGCCTATACTGTTGTCAAACCCCTTTTGCTGAGGGCTCATCTTCTGAGTTTTACTTCTGAATTCTCCCCTTCACTACCCATTTTGCTCTCCTCATTAAAGATATTCTTACAAAGTTCTATCACATCCTCAAAACAGTCTCTTCTCCCCTTACCCTATTTCCAGATCTGACGCTGTGACAGACTAAGCGTATACTGGCCTGGATCTTTCTCCCTTTGCTGGGAGAGCCATTTCTTTAGTCATCATCTGTACTGAGCAGTTGTCAACTGTGAATTTCCTCAGCACTTGTCAGCTGAGCTCAGTTACCAGGGTTTCTGCAGAGACTGGCTCCACCTGCTTTTCTGCACCAAGATGTTGACAACTTCTCTCTTTTTCCTTCTTGGAGCCATCTCAACCCTCTTTGGTGGTAAGAAGGAGATGAAGACATCAGTCATGTAGCAGCTGCCACAACCCACATAATACCAATTCAACCTACAAACACAATCATGAGATTTCTCTTTGCTAGTAACCAGACAAGAGGCCCATCCACACTGCAATTCTGTCCAGTTGAGAAGGTGAGGCAACAAAAATCTGCTTAGATTGACAGCAAACACATAAGTATTGTGCCTGAGAAGTTCTTAAGCAGGCAGGCTTGAATTTACATGTTTGTTTACTTTGTCCCTCTGTACTCTCTCCGTCTTCTCTTGTATTTCCTTAATGATGGTCTTCTAGTTCCATCTAGGATCATGTTAGGCTCATACTTCAGGTTCTCTCCTTTATTATTTCATTATTCCATGGAGTTTTAGCTGTTCTTGTGTCCTTATAGTCTGCAAATGCCAGAAATTGTTCAAATGGTCACCTCTTGCATCATTTAGTTTCTGCTGCATAACAAATTACCCCAAAACTTAGTGGCTTAAAATAACAACCTTTTTTTTTTTTTTTTTAAGCTTATGACTTTTCAGTTCATTAAGTTAGGCTGGGTTCATCCAAGCAGTTCTGGCCAGGTTGGCTGGGGTTTGGCTGGTTGAAGTCTCAACTGAGATGACTCATCTGTACTTTATGTGGTTTCTCACCTTCCAGCAGACAATCCTGGGCATGGTCACATGGTGACAGCATTATTCAAAGAGTGTGCTCTTTGAACACAATATAGGAAGCTGCAAGGCTCTTGAAGCCTAGACTTGGAACTCATTCAATGCCAGTTCCGTGGTATTCTATTGACCAAAGCTTGTGGCAAGGCCATCCTAGATTCAAGGGGACTCTACCTCTTTTTTTTTTTTTTTTTTTTTTTTTTTGAGAAGAAGCCTTGCTCTGTGGCCCAGGCTGGAGTGCAGTGGCAGAACTTGGCTCACGGCAACCTCCACCTTCCAGGTTCCAGCAATTCTCTTGCCTCAGCCTCCTGAGTAGCTGGGGCTACGGGTGCATGCTACCATGCCCAACTAATTTTCGTATTTTTTAGTAGAGACAGAGTTTCTCCATGTTGGTCAGGTTGGTCTCGAACTCCTGACCTCAGGTGATCCACCCACCTGGACCTCCCAAAGTGCTGGGATTACAGGTGTGAGCCATAGCACCTGGCCCACTCTACCTCTTAATGGGAGAAACTGCAGAATATTATGGCCAGTTTTACAATGTACTGTATTTCAGTAGAGAAAAACTAGGAGTAGGGAAGGAAAAAGATGGACGACTTTTACTTTTCACTTACAGAATTACGTTTCGTTTAAATTTTTAAAATTATGGATATATATACACTACTTCTACAATAATAACAATGATAATACATTAAAATATGACTCCAAATATTTCTTGTATTATCTTAGTTACACATGAGGATAATAATCTAATCCACTGATACTTTGAAGGACCCATGATTTTGAGTCAAAACACCTGATTCAGACTTTGTCTTTGAACTGCCTCTATCAGGCTAAATAATGATAAATTTAACATGAAATCCTCCAGCATGGAGGTTGACACATAGTAAATGCTTAATAAATGTTGGGTAAATCTGAATCTGAATGAGAAGATAGGGGCAAAAAAAGATGTATGAATAATATAAAAATAGCTTTAAAATCTGTTCTATTATTTTCATTTCTGTTTTCTGAGACAAGGTCTCGCTCTGTCACCCAGGCTGGACTGCAGTGGTGCTATCACAGCTCACTGCAACTCCTGGGCTCAAGGGATCCTCCCACCTCAGCCTCCCTAGTAGCTGGGACCACAGGCACACACCACCCCGCCCAGTTAGTTGTCTTTATTTTTATTTTTAGTAGAGACGAGGTCTTCCTCTGATGCTCAGGCTGGTCTTGAACTCCTGAACTTGAGTGATCATCCTGCATCAGCCTCCCAAAGTGCTGGGATTACAGGCGTGAACCACTGTGCCCAGCCAAAATCTGTTC